CCACATCCAAAATGTAACTGTTATATTTAAACAATGTTTGTAAATCCCAGGCCCTGAAGATGATCTCAATAAAGATCGAAACGTTGGCACGATAAAGAAAATCTTTTTCTGAAACCTACATCACACCAGACCGCATCTCACGAATTCTAAATAAATACCTTACCTAAAGATTAATTAATTGAAAGATGTTATTTGATCAATCGGACCACGAAATCTCATGAATTTAATAATGGATTATTTTATAGTTTCAATGATTTTTTAATGTTTTAATTATAATATTTTGTATAATCAATAAAAGATTTATTTCAATAATTAATTGTGTTTTTTAAATAACTAATTAACCCTGACATCAGGAGGAAAGCACGTTTGGGTCAAACATATTCTTAGTAAAACTTACTGCATGGATATTTATGCTCATTACTTTTGTGTGTAGTCTGCCTACCTGTCTGTCTACTATCACGAAAAATTAATACCCTTACAGTCATTCATTGACCACTATTATCGCATAAGCAAACAAAGTAACTTAAATCACTGAGAGCCAATATATGTAACAAAAGTGTCACAACTTAAAAAGTGGTAGTTTTTTAAGAGTAGTACAACTGGATTTTTAATGTTTTGTATTTTCGCTTAAATATTGGAGAAACGAAAGGCAATATTGACAGATTGCGGCAGTTTTATTGCCAACAACTGTAATAGCATGTACTTAATACATAAGTAAAAAAAGTAAACTTTCATTTGACACTCCTGTAAAATTTTCTTTTATTAGGGTTTGTGACTATTCCTGTGGGTGTGCGATATCTCTCTATTTATCTTTCTCTCACTCTACCTTTATCTATCTATTTACTTATCTTCATTTCCCTCTCTAAATAATTTCACACATACCAACTAGTTTTATGCTTGTTTTAAACTTTTTCCTCATTTATTTTCATTTTACACCTCTCCTCAGTCTTACAATATATCTCACTTTTTCATATCTTTTTTATATAATCACTTTTTTATATATATAACTACACATTTCCCCTTTTTATCAAGCACGCACAATAAACAAACATACATACCTACACGTACAAAAACCACCTAAACAACCACACATACAAAACCGTCAAACGCACAGAAAAATTAACTTACACTCGCACATTTATCAAGGCAAGTTGATAATTACATAATTCACTAAAAAAAAGGTGTTCTAAAAACAAATAATACAAATGGTAATGTGATTTACATAACAAATTTGAAAACTTGCACACGTTTAGCCATTACTTCGCTTGAATAATGAATCACTTGTTTTGTTGTTTTCGGGATTTTGTAATCGGCGTCTATGACGTTTCGGTAAGCTAAAATTATTCAACTTCCATGCTTTAAGTCGTGTGAAGTACGGTGTATTTTCATATTAAAAAATTAATTCTTGTTAGGTAATCATACAAATCACCTTGAAAAACGTTAACGAATTAATTCCAGATATGTAAGTAATATAATAATAAATTTTAACTACGTACCTGAAAGCTGTCAAGAATCTGTGATATGTGTATATGAATGTAAAGCTTAATTAAAATTGCCCACAGAAGACCAAATATATCGTCAAAAGCTCGGCGTTGGTAAAATTGCACTATTTGTTTTTCTGACCACAAACCTAATCCACGTGACTATTATCTGCACAATATAATGAAGGATTATTTTATTGTTTAACATGCTTTATTTATCTAAATTTACCTATTTATGGGTAGAAAGTGTGAGCTTATTCAGATACACCCAGGTTGTCACATCCTGGGTGTTTTGACCTTAGTCATCAGGGAGTTCCTCCACACCGTTATGTGGCTGGATCGCTAGTATCTCCCTTAAACCAGGCGTCCAGGAAATCGCTCCGACGAGGATAACTACGTCATTTCAGCCCCAAACACATGCAAACTATAATCTAACCTTACACCAATTAAATGAGATAAATCAGTCGCACAGATAATACATTCGTGCATATAAATACATCCATGCATTGCACTCAGGCTGATTAATCAGTGGAGTACTGGGTATTCTGCCATTGGTCTACATACATAGTAATAATCTAAACTACATTAGGGTCAATGGGGTACTTTTATGAAATTCGACCCTAAAAACACACACACCCTGCTGGAGCGGCGATGATGACGCTATATTTCACAGATACCTCTCACAACTCGCACTAATAAATACAAGTATCTGAACAAAACATTATCACATCGATTATAACTAAAAACAGTTAATGGCCCCTCGTCTTCTAGAAAGTGAAACAGAGGACCGAGATACACACTGATGTGCTCGAGCACCATTCTTAAATCCAGCGGCACGCGAACACGCGCTCTGTAGGGAGCCAAAGCATGACACACCTTTATTGTATGGGACACATCGAACAACCTTTCCCTGCATAAGAGGCAACTGCGCGGGCTTTCGCTCAAAAGCAGATGCTTGTGGGTCAACCGCGTATGGCCAATCCTCAATCGGGAGAGGACATCCCTCGTTCCCGGCTGCCCAAATAATATGACCAAGAAATTTCAACCTGTCATCTATGCTGTCTCTACGTACCGCATGCTGGGAGCCCTCCTCAATCAGAAAGAGTGGACATACACCGTTTTCGACGTGGAAAATGACAACCCGATTTCCTCGGCTATCCAACAACAATGTCTATCACGGACTGCACCCTACCTCGAATGGTAGAAGCAGAGGCCGTCCACAGTGAGCTTTCTTCTTATCTGCGGGGGTGAGACCGTCAGCGATACCGTGTTCACCGCTACCAAAAAAAAGCGCACCGCTCATCACCGAACCTTGAGGGATACCGTTCTTCTGAACGTGATCATTGGAGAGCACGGTTCCAAGCCTGACCAGCCAATGGTTTTTTAGGAAACCCCGGAGAAACTGTGGCAATTAACCTGTAAGACCGAAATCGTGACATTTCCGTAGTATCGCTCCTCGTCCTATCATATGCCTTCTCGAGGTCGAAGAACGCGGCCAGAGCGTGTTCTCTGTTCAGGAACGTGTCCTGAAGGTTACCCTCGAGTGGGTTCACTAGATACCATTTGTACTGTATGTATATGGAAAAACACTTATTGCATCTTCTAATAGCACATTATCGGCTATATTTAATAGCCTGCAGCTTAAATTAGAATAGTTCCTTTTTTACTCTGAAGAATGAAGAAAATATCAAAACAGTTTATTCTTCTTTTATCTTGAAGACATAATAAAAATTAAAAGGAGACGTGCAGTGATATTGTTTACTATTTAGTTGTTACATTAATGGGAAAATAATTACAAGGAACACAATGGACACTTGTTAAAAATAAAATCTGTTAGACGTAAACAACACGATTTACGAGGTCGTCTTGTCAACTTTGATAGATGAAATACTGATGAAGTTAAGGCCGAAAACGAGGTTTATCAACAAGAGGCATGTTCATGTATTTTCTGTGCATAAAGTCAATTGAAAAAATATGACTAAAGCATGCAGATTTGCTTTTTAAATTATAACGTAAATCATTCAGACTGGCAAATTCTGCCTTCATTGAAAACCAAATCTAGGCAAATATACGTCCTACTACGCCAACGTTGGTATGTCAAACGTATACAATGTTTGATAGTGTATGATCGAGAGGGAGAAAGAGAGAGAGAGAGAGAGAGAGAGAGAGAGAGAGAGAGAGAAAGAATGAGAGAAAAATAAGAAGATGTAAGTGAGCGTTGAAAAAATGGGACAACCAAAGAGAAATTGATAGAAAAGAAATAAAATGTAAAAACGTGTGAAACAATGAAAAAAAGAGAATAGTAGAAACAAAGAGAGAAAGAAATGAAGAATGAATAGATTAAAAAGAAAACTGAAAGAAGAAAAAAATGCACGACAGAGTGATATCTAGCCTACTCAATTGTTTCACAAATTAGAATTTTGTAAAAAAAGAAGAATCTGTATCACATAGTAGGTTGGCCTTGTACAGATATGTACATTAGTCAGTCCTGGTAGTGTGACGTTAGTGTATTCACTTAATGTAAATAGGGCACAAGTGTTAAGTGATATACGAAGGTTGACATACATAAAACAAGTTGCAAAATTCCAGGTGTTCAATGAGTCCTGTACGCTTTGTAGTTCGATTTTTTTATCAGGGTGCACCGGATCGGAACAATTAAAATGTCTAAGTTCAAGGTTTTAGAGACAACAACTTCTGGATTAAAAAATCTAACATTTGTCGAAACAATTCACAAAGTCCGTAATTTTTCGAGAAGAAATTTTGAAAACACCAAAGAAATTTAATTTTTACCTAATGGAAACACCGCTCGGGTGGTCGAACCTGACAACACGCGGTCTTTCCAAAAAGAGAAAAACAAACAAAAGCTTTAAAACTTTTTTAAATTTACCAGTTCAGTTGTCCCAGGGCCATCTGGTCTGACAACTTTGGTATTTCACGCTACGCCGCCCGGCCGTATCCTGTGAAGGATGGCTTTTTTATTCCTTTTAGCCGATCATTGGGATTAAGCTAATTTCTAACAAATGAAAAATTGTTTTTGTCCCTATTTGGGAAGACCATGAGTAAGGTTTAATTAAGTAAACTTTTCCATCGATTTTACCAAAAGGAAAAAATCTTCAGTTCAAGATGTTGGAAGAAAATATATTCAGGTCGTCAAAAAACCACGATACTTCACGCCAAGAACAACCCAGGGATGCTATTTTTTAAAGAAAAGCTTTTATTTTATGGCAATGGTCAATTGTTTCCAAAAAGATATAGATTTAAAAAAAATAATTATGCCAGCTTTATCACAGTAGCCACATAATGTGGGTGTGGTAAAAAATATTGATAAACACTACAGTGTTACATCATTACAGTGATGAATATTCATGAAATAAAAGCAAATGTTGACAAAATTTCCACGTCTCAATATCGAGCATAAGAGTTTACTGTTCAGGGCAGGTCACTGAATGGCCAAAAATACATTTTAGGATGTTTATCTGTTTTGTAAATCTCTTTAAACTATTTTCTCTTTTTTCCCAGGTGCCGGGCGTGAAGAGTTCCGAGTGGTTATCACACGCGCCTGAGGCCTATAATGACAGAATTTGGTGCGCCCTGCGGTCGCGTCTCGGAGGAATGCTAGTCACGGGTCTCTATGGAGTGGTAAGACAATTCTCGAAATTTTTTATTATGTACCGAAACTTACGAAGTACACACAAGGCGTACAAGAAAACTGCTAGAAAGAAAGCCTAGGGAAATAGAAAATGGGCCTTAGAATTATATGGATGTTTGTCTGAAAGAGAGGGAGTAAGAGAAAGTACTAAAATTAAAATGTAAAAAAAGATGTAAATGGAAATCTCAAACACGTGACATAATATATTACCTAAGATGTATTGTGTATTAAATGATAATAGATAAATAGAGAGAGAGGGAGTGAATGGGGGGAGAGAGAGAGAGACAGACAGACGGAAGAGAGAGAGAGAGAGAGAGAGAGAGAGAGAGGGGGGGGGATACAGAGACAGGAGGAATAGTGAGAGAGAAAGAGAGAGGAAGAAAAAATTGAAGAAAATAAATAAAAAGTGAGAGACAAACATAGTAAAAGTGTGGAATGTAAAATCGTTACAAAATGAAAAAGTGGTAGAAAAAGAACAGGAGGTAAGATATAAAATGAATTCGTGAGCGAGTGTGTGCGTGTGAGAGAGAGGGTGAGAGAGAGAGGAGACAGAGATTGGAGGAATAGCAAGAGAGAGAGAGAGAGAGAGAGAGAGAGAGAGAGAGAGAGAGAGAGAGAGAGAGAGAAAGGTAGAAAAATTAGAAGAAAATAAATAAAAAGTGGGAGACAAAGATAGTAAAAGTGTGGAATGTAAAATCGTTACAACACGAAAAAGATATAGAAAAAGAAAAGGAGATAAGATATAAAATGAATGAGAGAGCGAGTGTGTGTGTATGAGAGAGAGAGAGAGAGAGAGAGAGAGAGAGAGAGAGAGAGAGAGAGAGAGACTGGAGGAATAGTGTGAGAGAAAGAGAAAGGAAGAAAAATAGAAGAAAATAAATAAAAAGCGAGTGACAAAGAAGGTTAAATACAGAATGAATGAGTGAGCGTGTGTGTGTGTGTGAATGAGAGAGAGAGAGAGAGACTGGAGGAATAGCGTGAGAGAAAGAAAAAGGGAGAAAAATAGAAGAAAATAAATAAAAAGCGAGAGACAAAGAAGGTTAAATACAGAATGAATGAGTGAGCGAGTGTGTGTGTGTATGAGAGAGAGAGAGAGAGGAGAGAGAGATTGGAGGAATAGTGTGAGAGAAAGAGAAAGGGAGAAAAATAGAAGAAAATAAATAAAAAGCGAGAGACAAAGAAGTTTAAATACAGAATGAATGATGAGTGAGCGAGTGTGTGTGTGTATGAGAGAGAGAGAGAGAGAGAGAGAGAGAGAGAGAGAGAGAGAGAGAGTGAGTGAGAGAGAGAGAGATTGTGGAGCGAGAGCGATACAGATTGAAACAAGTAAAAAGGGAATAAAGAGTACGCAAAATAAGGCTTAGTGAAAGGAAAAGGAAGAAAGTGTGAAACACAGGACGTGATGGCGTAAGTATATGGAGATAAATTGAGTGAGAGATATACAATTATGCATTAAAATACTATCATGCCTAATTATTATTTTTGTCTTTATATTTAATTACTTAATCCCTAAAAATAAATGAGTTCTTTATAAACATTTTTAAATTGTCAGCTGTCAATATTAAAAAAAAAGGTTTCTTTTTATTTGAACTATTATTTTGTATTGTACCTGTCTTTGATTGTCTACAAAGTGCATACATTTTTACATATTTAGCTGAGTAGATTAGACGATGATTGATAGTGATGTCAGTTTGAAAGACTGTTCTTGATGTGCCACGCTGTCTGAGGATTGTTTTATAAATAAGGAAAGTCCGGTTATTGACAAATGTAGGTCATTGTGGCACCTCTTACCTCCTCTGTTGATACCATCGATTCAGATGAAATGATTATACATAATTGGGAGATTTAATTGATTTTTTTGTCCCTTTGACGGCTAGACGCGATAATTTTCCACTTGATAATGGAGCCCTGTCATTCAGTCACTGCACCAGCCTTTAGTTGACAACGCTTTTAATAAATATATATTGTTTTTTATAAATAAAATTTGGTAAATTTGATAAAGTAATAAGAAACCCTAGAAAATTAATGTAGTGACATATTAGATTTTGGTATGATTAAAAAACTGACTTGCGTGTTGAAGTTGTAGATTTTTCGTCAGGCCTTAATTATTGTATGAAAGGGGGGGCATATAAAAGTTTCCGTTATTTCAAAACTTATTATTTCCTAATCGATTTGAAAAAAATTAAAATTTTGACATTTTTATATTTACAATGTAATCGGTTCGAAATAACAAGAAACACATATTGGGAGATAATATTTTAAAACTATTAATAAAGAATTTTATTTACATGTTTGATTAAATATAATGGAAACAAACATAATTACGTAGTACAAAATGTAAATATCAGTCACTCAATTTATGTTATTCTGTTCATACACCTTTGGAAGTTTATCTCTTCTTCATGACAGCTTCTCTTTCACACGTTCTTCCTTTTTCACTCTTCTACTCCTTCTTTTAAATATTATCTCTTCTCTCTCTCTCTCTCTCTCTCTCTCTCTCTCTCTCTCTCTCTCTCTCTNCTTGTTAGTTGTCGATCTACCACTCGATCAATCTATGTATCTAACTATGTCTTTATCTATCTATTGCCATGCCTTTGAAGTTCAAAAGGCCTAATTTTGTCTGTACAATTATACATAACCATACCATATTTCTTCTCTTTCTTTCAATATTACGATTAGTCCTACTTTATATATAATCTTGCTCCTTGTATTTTATCTATCTATCTCTTAATCTCTCTCTTGTTATCTCACGTTCTTCTCTCTCTCTCACTCTCTCTCTCTTTCTCTCTCTCTCTCTCTCCCTCCCTCTCTGTCTTTCTTCATTTCACTTTTCCTTTAATTATGTTTTGTTTTCTCCATTTTCATTTTCTCTCATACTACCTATCAATATATCTTTCTTTCAAAATTTGTCTTCTTTCATCTATTTGCCTTTCTCTAGCCTTTTTTTCATTCTCTCTCTCTCTCACTCACTCTCTCTCTCACTCTCTCTCTCTCTCTATCTATCTATCTACCTATCTATCCATCTATCTGTTTATTTATCTATCCATCTATTTATCTATCTTATTTTACTATTACTATTTATCTATTCTTTTGTTTTAATAACATTATTAATTATAATATTGTTTTTCATAACTTTTACATTATTTTTTATAGTTTCATTGATTTTTTAACGTTTTAATTACGATATTTTGAATAATCAATAAAAGATTTATTTCAATCATTCATTTCGCATTTTAAGTAACTAACCCTGACATCAGGAAGAACGCACGTTTGGGTCAAAAATCTATCTATCTATTTTTCTTTCTATCCATCCTATCGATCTATTCATCTATCTATGTATCTTTCTATATACCTGTTTACATCTCTCTTTCTTATCTTCTCTCTTTCTCTCTCCCTCCCTCCCTCCCTCCCTCTCACTCTCTCTCTCTCTCTCTCTCTTTCTCTCTCTCTCGTTCTTCCTGTAATGTGCTATTTTCCCTTTTTTCTTCTAGCTGTTTGACTGATTTTTCTTATTTTATCTTTACTTTTTCGTTCTGTATCTTACAGCTGTTTTATTCTCACTCTCATTTTTATTCTTACTCTCTTTCTCTTTTTCTTTCCATATCTCAGATTAAAAACAAACGCAACAGTCTTGTAAATACGAATATTTTCAACGGCTAGAACTAAGATTTGATCAAATTCTATCATTTCAATTTATAATTTTTAAAAGATATTGGTGAATTGTTTTAATTCATATCTTAAAAACCAAACACGAAAACGGAAATTCATAAAAATAATACACGTATATAAACGAGATTTTCTGCATATATTTGTTTTATGGTTTGAACCATTTAATCCGCTAAACTGACAACCTACACTTTATTTGAATACTAGTCAGACATTTAATTAAAATGCAGTCGTATAATGAATTATTAATTATACCGAAAGAGTGTATAAACAAAACCAAACATTACACTTCCCGCATGGAAAGACCAAAATCGGAACTCCTTTTAAACGAGGTATCCCATTCTAAGTTGACTTGGAAAAAAATAAGCCATACATGGTTCGGGTCCGGTTTCCGACCCCCTCTCGTTCGACATGCTACAGCATTTGATTAAGTATGTCATGAGACATGTGTGCTGCAAGGCCGTGTCCCCCTTGGGCCACCTCAGTACGTCCAGAACCCCTATGGCAGAAGGACCGGAGAGTTTCGCCAGAACTTACCCTTGCAGAAAGGCCTGGCCAACGGTCATCCACAGAACCCTATTTTAAACAAATTTTTATAAATTTTATTCTATTCTGAAGCTGTAGAAATATTATTTGAATCGTGTTCACGTATATAATTTAAAGGTATTTTCCTTTTCACACTTTATCCTTGTTTGTGATTCCTTTCAATATTCTCTTAGCTGTTTTTCTTTCAGTACTTTTTTCGATTTCAGTTTTTCTCTTGCTCGAAACGACAACAAAAACGAGTATATTTATATTTTTTATTCAACCAACGACTATTTATAATCCTTATTTATGACTTAATTTTTTTTTCTTATCGTCAAACAGGCATTTGTCTTGTCCATCATGTACGACGATAAGTAAGGGTTGAAAGATTTGTAGATAATACGGTTATCAGTTGATTAATGTTATCCGACCACACTGTAACCTTCATTCATAATGGCAAAAATATTTTTAAAAACTTTGAATGTTTCATACATTTAATTTTCTTTTTATTGAACCATTCTCTAACTTATTAACTGGTATAACTGGTATAAAATTGCACGTTTATCAAAAATAATACAATAATATGTTGTAAAATGTTACAAATAGATTGTCGTACTTGAGATACTTCGTCAAATAACTAAGTGACGACCAAAAATACGTGAGAGAGAGAGAGAGAGAGAGAGAGAGAGAGAGAGAGAGAGAGAGAGAGAGAGAGGGTGGGAGAGAGGGGGAGAGAGAGAGAGAGACAGAGAGACAGACAGACAGACAGCTAAAGAGAGGAGTGGAGATAGGAATGTAG